GAATCAATTGCTCTAGGTGGCTCTGCCATGAGGTCCAAAACATGGAGTAGCACTTGGGATCCAACACATGGTACCCAGCAATTCAGCAAATACTTCCAGGGCCATTTCCATTAGGTGAACCTAACATTTAACCGGTTAACAGATTAACCAGGATTTTACATCCCTACTATGCTCCACTCAGAGTACAAGGGTTTAAGAAGAAGAAAACAACTAGGGATATTAAATATTGGTTAACTGAATAGTCCATTAACCTCATGAATTCTTATTGGTTAGTCGACTATTCTATAGTCCCTGGGCAGCCCATGTCTGATGGGGAGGGGTGTGAGCTCCTGGACCCAGCATGAGCTGAAACTGAGCTGGGCTGCCTGCCTGCCTCCTAATACTCTTTAAATACAGGGCCACAGCGGGGGTAGGTTCAGGACCCAGTGCAAGCCAGGACTGAGCTGGGCTGCTCACCAGCGTGCTAAACAATTTACTGGCAAGGGGTGGGGGGGAAATGCATGTAGTCTATAGTATTGACCTATGAGCTTTTGCTTATCGTTTAATCAGTTAATTGACTACACTATTACCTCCCTAATCACTACCCTGCAGTGGGCAGATATGAGAGAACCTCTCCATTATCAAGTCACATCCTGATCTTGAACAGTCACTAAAGTTGGGCAAATAATGGTTTTTTCCTTGGTTTAGAAAAATCCATTTTGGCTGCAAATAAGAACATAACATAATGTAAGAACGTAAGATTGACCATAGTGGGTCAGACCAAAGGTTTATCTAGCCCAGTGTCCTGTCTTCCAATAGTGGCCAATGACAGATACCCCAGAGAGAATGAACAGAGCAGGTAATCATCTAGTGATCCATCTCCTGTCACCCATTTCCAACTTCTGACATAGGCTAGGGACACCATTCCTGCCTATCCTGGCTAATAGCCATTTATGGACCTAGCCTCCATGAATTTATCTAGTCTAGCTTTTTTTAAACCCTGTTAAACACCTGGCCTTCACAACATCCTCTGGCAAGGAGTGCCACAGGTTGACTGTGAGTTGTGTGAAAATGAAATTGTTCAAAATTTCCAGCAAATAGAAAAATGTAAAAAATTTGTTTTTAATTAAATATTTTGCTTTGATTCCAAACTACTTTAAAACTTTAGTATTTTTATAAAACAACAATTAAAGGAAATTTCCAAACTAAGTTGCTTCAGGTTGGAAAATCAAAACATTTAGACTTTCAACAACATTTACCACTTTCTCCCTTCCTCGCAATAAATAATTCAGCAAAACCAACATGAACTCATGAACCATTGCAGTGTCACCAAATCTGCATTTTCAAACAAAACCAGTTTCAGTTGAAAAATTTATCACTATTCTACTAAAGGCCTGACTCATGAGGTTTGTATGACTTCGAAATCTCTTCTTTGTATTATTGATATTCCTGTTATCCAGATAGATGTCCAGTTCTCCTTTGCATCTTGCTAAGTCGTGGCCTTAGTGTCATCCTGTCTCAATAAACTCCAGCCTAACACTGTCATGATAGAAATATTTCCTTTATTCCATTTTGAAAATAGGAAAGAGAACCCAGGAGTCCTGATTCTCAACTTCCTCTGCCCTGATTCACTAATTTCACTTCCCTCAGAGCTGGGAATCATGTCTACCAATCCTCCACCCCCAAACACATACCGGAAAAACTGAAAACGGAATAGTATTCCGTTTTAAGCAGTTCCGGAAATTTATGCCAGTGTAGACACAGCCATACAGACTCTAACCCACTAAGCTCCAGCGGTGAAAGCAACATAACATTTTTTACAGGTACTGCCTTATCAGAACCCCAAGTCCCTGTCAGCTCTTTAAATAGCTTCCTTAGCCAACCCTTGCTAGAGCTGCGCACCAGGGTTCACCTGCTTACTTTCGCCTCTGCGAAGCTTCCATCCCATTCCAAAGCTGAGAATGGAACCACAGAGTCCTGACTCCTAGCTCCACCTGCTCTAACCATTAGATCTTACTCTCCAGCCAGAACTGGGAATGGAATCTAGAAGTCCTGACCCTCCTTCCTACTTCTCTGACCCGCTAGACTTCATTCTCCTCTCAGAACTGATAACCAAACCCAGGGGTCCTGAATCTCAGCCTCTACCACTCTAATCATTAGACGCTACTTCCCTCACAGAACTGGAAATAGAACCCAAGAGTGCTGATGCCTAGCTTTAACCACTGGACCACTCAGTTACACCCATAGCAATCAAGATGGAGGGACTGACTACAGCTTGAGCAGACATACCTGAGCTACCTTTAGTCTCGCTAGCTCAGGTACCAGAGCAGTACGTCGGCACAGACTGTACAAGTCTGTCTGGAACCCAGAGTCATTATTTGCAGGACTAGCCCACGCTGAAGCATGCGCTGCTTAGCTTCACTGTTCTTGGAGCCAAGGAAGCCAGATTGAAAGTACGTCTGCTCGGGTTGCAATCTTAGCCCATGACTGCAGCATAGACAGATCCTAACTCAACTGCTTCTGTTGGATTTGAGACTGTCTCCTTGTACCCCTGCTTTGGGCTCATCAGATACACATTTTCATGTTTAAAAACTCCCAATTTACAAGGATCAAAATGTAGCTCATCTATAGAGATATCCTGATACATTATGGTATAAATTCCACCTAGAACTGGGGCGAACACATCTATTTACTGTACAAAGAAAGTTCCTCTGTGAAACGCTGCCACAAATAAACAGTTTCTGTGGCACTTGGCTCAGCCGTGTTCTCCACGGGAGGGTTCTGCATTCTTTGGAGGTCTTGCTCAGAGTTCAAACACAGACGCTGGTTCTGGTTACATCCTCGGCCTGTGGGGTGCTGAAGAGAACACAGCCATCCCATACAATCGTACTTTGCCCTTCTCTGTGTGAGCTTTTTGCAGACTGCTTGACAAAGCCTCCCAGCCCCATGGGAGTTTGGTGAATATTATTGTACCCACAGGTGCTGCCTTTTTTTTTCCTGCTGGGTGCTCCATGCCGAGGCCCCTCTCCGATTCTGCCTCTTCCTGTCCCCACTTCACCTCCTCCTCCATTAAGGCTATGCCCATGTGCCTGCTGTTTGCTCCTCTCCACCTCCCTGAGCACTTTGTGCCAGCTGCATACTACTATGCTGGCTGCCTCAGGGGCTGCCAAACTGCTCAGTAGCAGCCAGACCCAGGGCCTCCAGAACCACTGTGGCTAATGGGTGCTAGGCACCCCCTATTTCCCCCATGTGTACTAAGCCCCAGAGCACCCAAGGAGTCAGCACCTAGGACTGTACCCGTCTTCCACAGAATCAAAGTAAGGCACAGAGCAAAATGCCCAAGAATACAGATGGAAAGTCAGTGGCAGTGCTAGAGATAAAACTCCAGAGTCTCCTCTCCCCACTAGACTCCACTCCTCTCTCAGAGTTGTGGATGGAGCCAAAGACTCCCAGCTATCAGTCCTCTACAACTCTAAGCACAAGCTAACACTTCTCCTGCTGTTTGGACCAAAATCCAAGCACCTCAGTTTCCGATCCCCTGCTCTGGTCACTAGATGACTATCTACTTCCTCCCAACACAGCCACGGAACCCAGAAATCCAAACGCCAGGCCCTCCCTCTTCCACTGCTACACCATAAACACCTTGTAGAGATAAGACCAGAACTCAAACACCAAGGCTCTCAAATTAATCACTAACCCCTCCCCCCAGAGCCCATTTCACTCTACTCCCAGAGCTGGCACCAGAACCCAAGAGTCTCACAGTCCCCTGGCTCTAACCATTAGAACCTCCTTCTCAGCCACATCTGGGAATAAAAACCCAGTAGCCCTGACTCTCAGTCCCCCTGTATTATGATGTCCCTCAGTCCGACATCCTCCCCCTCCCCCCTCTTCTCACCCACTAGACCCTACTCCCCTCCCAGAGCTAGGAATCTAACTCACAGCTCCCCTTCCCCTTTCCCCACACTCCCCCACAGCTCCCCTTCCCCCACACTGATCACCAGAGCAGAGAAAACAGTGTCACCGTGGCTCAACCTCCATGTAAAAGAAGCAGTGAGGGACAAAAAGGTATCTTTTAAGAATTGGAAGTCCAATACTAGTGAGATAAATAGAAAGGAACATAAACACTGTCAAATCAAGTGTAAAAATGTAATAAGAAAAGCAAAAAAAGATTTTGAGGAACAGCTAGCCAAAAACTCAAAAAGAAATAACAAAATGTTTTTTAAGTACATTAGAAGCAGGAAACCTGCTAAAAAACCTGTGGGTCCCCTAGATGATCGAGCTATAAAAGGAGCAATCAAGGATGATAAAGCCATTGCGGAGAAACTAAATGATTTCTTTGCTTCAGTCTTCACGGCTGAGGACGTTGGGGAGATTCCTGAATCTGCACCGTCCTTTGTGGGTGATGAATCTGAGGAGCTGTTCCGGATTGAAGTGTCATTAGAGGAGGTTTTGGAACAAATAGAAAAACTTAATGTTAACAAATCTCCAGGACCGGATGGCATTCATCCAAGATTTCTTAAAGAACTCAAATGGGAAATTGTTGAGCTATTATCTGTGGTTTGTACCCTATCCTTTAAATCGGCTTCCATGCCTAATGACTAGAAGGTAGCCAACATGACACCAATATTTAAAAAGGGCT